GTTGCGAGCCACATCCATGGGCTAGTCCCGCGCGTTGTGGGAGGGGGAGGGGTGTCCCTCCTACAACACACCGACGATACCATCATAATGGTAGAAGGGGCCGCGGCGGACATTGCAAATGTGAAATTCTTGCTCCTATGTTCCCAGCAGATGTCGGGCCTCACGATCAATTTCGACAAGAGTGAAGTGATGGCGCTGGGATATTTGCCCACCGAACGGCAGAACATTGCAGATCGGCTAAATTGTCAGTTGGGTTCCTTCCCGACATCCTACCTAGGGATACCCATTAGTGACTCCCGGCTATCCATGGCGGAGTTGCGCCCCACGGTGACCAAGCTCGAACACCAAATCAAGCCTTGGCGAGGCCCCTGGCCATCCAAGGCAACCCGGACTATGCTCATTAACTCTTCCCTCTCCAGCCTGCTCCTATTCATCATGAGCTTCTACAGCCTTCACGAGATCGCCAAATATCTGTCTTGCTTCTACTGGGCTGGCGACGGCGATAAGCAGAAGTACCATATGGTCCATTGGCCCGACATTTGCAAGGCTAACGACCAACGCGGGCTCGGGATGATGTAGTCCAAACGCATTCATCGGCCTGCTGACACGTAGGCTATGGAGGATTGCGAATGGGGAGGGCGGCCTTTGGCTTGACATCATCCGGAAAAATACCTTCGTGGACAGCCTCTCGCCTTCTGTCAGCGGACTGGCGGCTCGCAGTTCTGGCAGTCCGTCATCCGGCTACTCCCGGTCTCTCACATCGGGACCTCCATCGCGGTTGGGTCCGGAGCATCCACATTGTTCTGGTTTGATAGGTGGGTTGGGGAACGCCCCTTTGCAACCCGCTTCCCCGATCTGTTCGCCATCGCGGTCAAACATGGGATCTCTGTGGAGGCGGCCCTTATTGACTTGGGGCGTCTCACGTTCCGAAGGCCATTTGGGCCTCCTGACCTCGCCGCCTGGGAGGATCTCCTGGAGTGCATCGCGTTGCAGCCCCAGGACCCGGATCAACCGAGTGACCGCATCTCCTGGCACTTGGAGACTTCGGGGCGATTCTCCACCAAATCCCTCTACCAGGCCATTGCGGCTGACCCGGGCCTCGCGCCACTTGTCCAGATTTGGTCGATCCATCTACCACTAAAGATTAGGATTTTCCTCTGGAAATGGACCCAGGGCCGGGTACCCTCAAGTGTGGAGGTGCGCAAGCGTAATGGCCCTGGAGATGGCCTCTGCCCCCTATGCGGGACGGAGGAAGACTCGAACCACATCATCTCGTGTGTTTCGGTGCAATTCCTCTGGAGTTGTTTCCGCGAAGTGGTTGGTGGATGGTGGTCCCACACCAACTTCCTTGACCTATTTGCGGGGATCCAGGCCTCCCCCTAACGTGTCCGCCACATTAGGTGGCTAGGTGTGGGGGTTCTTGCCTGGACGTTTTGGACCGTCCGTAATAAACTTGTGATCCAGCAGGGCCCCCTTCAACGGGCTTCTAGCACGATTTACAAAATGTATGGTTACTTGCAGCTTTGGCGGCCGCTTAGCCGCCCCTAGGATTGTGACACCATCAACACCATCATAGCAGATCTTCGCGCATTGGCTCTTCGCTTCGCGCCGCCGCTTCCTCCACCACTCCCGAGCCAAATTAGACCTACATGGCGTGTTTGTCGGCCTTTATTTGTTTTATTTCAGGGCTTGTTGAGCTGTGCCCTCAGCTGAATCCTTTGTGCACTATGTTTGTTGCTACCTTTGTGTGCGTGTGTGGCGTGTACTTTGTTAGATTTTGTGGCTCTGATGGTTTGCTTTATTTATAAAGCAGGGCGAAAGCCTTTTTCGGTAAAGCAGGCGATGTCCATCAGTATAGGATGGGACATGTATCTTTTGATAAGATGTATAGAATATTTCTGAATGTTATGTGTGGGGTAGGCAAGGGCAAGTTGACCTGTGATGCTTGCGAATATCCTAAACACACAAGAGCCTTTTATGCTTGTTCATTCAGATGTATGGACTAGCCCGGTGATGTTAGTGAATGGAATGAAATATTTTGTTACCTTTATCGACTGCTATTCTCGTATGACTTAATGTAAGGACACCATCAAGAATACTAGGCATGAAATCTCCTAGTGAGTTGATGTTTGGAGAAACGAAGTTTGTTGTTCCCGCAAAGTTGTTTGGCAGTACTTGTTTTGTTCGAGATCACCAACCTTCTGTGGGAAGTTAGATCCACAGCCAGTGAAGTGTGTTTTCCTAGGCAGTCAAAGGGGTATAAATGTTGGTGTCCCTATGAGAAACGCAGGCTTGTCAGTATGGATGTCACCTTCAGGGAGTCTGAACCATTCCATGGTGAGCTGACAGATCTAAGTTTGTTGTTTGGAGAGCTTCACCACTTACACTCTGTGAAGGATGGTCAAGCAAGGGAGCAGGCTGTGTCTCACACTCGGGGTGATTCTGTGGGCACTAACACTGATGATGATGTGCAGGTTCGGGTCCAGCCAATAGTGGGTGAATTGCAATTGGTACTCTCACTGATGATGATGTGCAGGTTCAGGTCTAGCCAACAGTGGGTACAATTCAGATTGGTAATCTCAAGCTTCCTGTTCAGGATCAGTGGCAGAAGATTTCCCTGGTGTACTCACGACGGCAGCCACGAGTGCATAGCTCATCTGACACACTCCTGGTATACTCACGACGACAGTCTCAAGTGCATGGGGAGTAGCAAGGTAGTGATGCAAGCTCACCTGACACAATGAAATTGCCTATTGCATTGTGAAAGCGACTCGTGAAGTGGCAAGAAAGGGTGAAGTGGCAAGGAAGGCTCTACCACAGGATGATGTTTGTGGTGACCATGACATTGGCAACTTTGTGTCTTATGAGGTTGTCTCCTTTCTATAGAGCATTTGTTGCCTCTCTTCAAACTGTCAATCCCGAAGGATTGGAAGGCTGCAAAGCAAGATCCGAAGCGGCGTGCAGTGATGATAGAGGAGTTGGATGCATTGAATAAAAACAAGACGTGGGTGCTAACCACATTGCTGGCAGAAAAGAAAGCGGCGAGTTGTAAGTGGATCTATACCGTTAAGCAGAATCCTGAGGGGAAGGGAACGGTATAAGGCCAGATTGGTCGCTAAGGGATATAGTTAAACTTATGGAATGGACTATGATGAGACGTTTGCTCCAGTGGCAAACACATAAGAATATTGGTTTCCTGTGCTGCAAACCATGGGTGCAAGTTGCATCAACTAGATGTCAAGAATGCCTTCTTGCATGGTGAGCTGCAGGAAGAAGTGTGCATGGAGATACCACCAGATTTTGGTACTTCAGTGACCATGGGGAAGGTATGCAGGCTGAAGAAATCCTTGTATGGGCTGAAGCAATCACTGAGGGCATGGTTTCATAGGTTCAAACGTGTTGTCTGTGGTATGGGAGTATGACCAGTGTAAAGGTGATCACACGATGTTCTATAGACACTCTGATCGGAAGATCACCATTCTAGACACTTTGATCGGAAGATCAACATTCTTACAGTTTATGTGCATGTTTATCATCACTGCAGATGATAAGGAGAAAATAGAGAGATTGAAGGGGTGCCTGAGCAAGGAGTTTGAGGTAAAGGATTTGGGCAACCTAAAATACTGCCTTGGAATTGAAGTGGCTTGGACAGAGAAGGGAATATCTTTGTGCCAACGAAAATACACCTTGGATCTCTTGCGTGACATGGGCATGATGTCATGCAGCCCTTATTCCGATTGAACAAAATCATCAAGTGACAGCACAATCTGAAGAGCTAGTGAATAAGGAAGATTATCATAAAGTGGTTGGGAGATTATTGTACTTGTCATACCAAGCCTGACATTTCGTATGCCTGGGTGTGGTGGCAGATACATGCATGAACCAAGGAGTGGGCGTCTTAATACTGTGCATAGAATCCTCAGATACTTGAAGGGCACTTCGGGTTAAGGGTTGTGATTTGCGAAGAGTGGACATCTGGAGGTGGATGGCTATAGTGACTCTGATTGGGCTGGTTGTCAAGATGATAGAAGATCAACTTCTGGCTACTTTGTGTGTGTCTGTGGGAGGAAATTGGTGTAATGGAAAAGCAAAAAACAAACAATGGTGTCTAGATCAAATGCAGAAGCCGAGTATAGAGCTTATCTCAAGGGTTGAGTGAGATGCTCTGGGTGAAGCACCTCCTGAACGAGTTGAAACTTCTGAGGAAGGGACCCGACCCTTGCGGGAATGGTGTGACAATCAGTCAGCTATAAGCATTGCTAATAACCCTGTTCAACGTGATAGGACAAAACATGTGGAAATTGTTCGCTTCTTCATTAATGAGAAACTTGACGCTAGGATCATCAGCCTTACTCATGTCAGCTCTGGGCAGCAGTTTGCAGATTGCTTGACAAAGGGATTGAGAACAAAGGATTGTAACTTGGCATGTGACAGGATGGGGATAGATATCTAGGCGTGTTGAACTGGTATGGGCCTTACTGCCCATGTCCACTTAAGCCCATGTGGCCCAAGCCCATGGCCATGACCTAGAAGAGGAGGAGGAGCCTCCAGCCAGAGAAATCCGATCCCGCGCGCGCGCGTGTGTGTGTGCGTGTGTGTGCGTGTGTGTGTATGTATATGTGGAGAGAGAGAGAGCGCTACACGATCAAAGTCTAAGAATGGTGATCTCCCGCGACTCGACAGTATAGTTACAGCAACTAGAGAGCACATCTTGATTTGGCAGCTACCAGTTAATCATCATGCAGCTGATTCCAAGTTCTCTGTCTATCAGTATTCATCTGGTTCCCGGCCACAATGTCATATCATTTCTATCATAAAATTAGGCTAGTAAAGGAAATTAAGCCCGTGAGACTTCCATTGTAGAGAGATATTTTATGTTGCATACTGAAAGGAAACTCAAATTTTTAGGGACTTGACAAGTAGAAATCTATACACAGAAATCAGCAGTGCCAGTTCACAACAAATTGTGCATGCAATAAAATGACAGAATGCAGACTAACCTGATGATTTATCATGGTAGCAACTAGTCTTTGGATTTCACGTTCCTCCTGATCCGCAAAGAGTTTAGACTTAATTGCCGCTGCCGACAAACCACACAGGGTGGCATGCTTCACATTTTCTAGAGAAATGGACGACGAAGCACCTGTTACAGGATAGGATAGTAACGTAACGGTAAACTCTTGAATGAATAAACAAATGAAATTTCACAGCAAAATTAACTGTAACAAATATGAAACAGCTACCATTATGGCCACAAAAGTTTGGATGCGCACCATGGGCCCTATCATCAGTATGCATTCTTTCAGAAATCACCCTTCAGCAAAAGGCAAGTCAAAATCACACTATAGCAGAATATGGGAAGGGAACTGGGAGCAAAACCAAAGGTCGAAATATCATCACCAAACAGATTTTTTTTTTACCTCAAGTTAAGGATGTAAATTGTTCAAAGTGCCAACCCTTCCGTGTTTGATAATGTTAATAAAATTCACTCAATACAGAAAAAGATGGCTAACCTGGGATCATCATCTCTTGTCAATGCAGATAACGCCGCACTTGCGCATGATGCTGCAATTCTTGGTCCAATTGCAGAGGCCAAGAATGCAACCTACACAATATTTATGAACAGTGAGACGAAATATACAGAAGACTCAAAAGCCTACAAATGTTTTGGTCATGAGAAAGTATAAAGTGCAGTACTCTACAGCCAGTGCACGTTGCAAGCAGACAAACTCAGCTAGAGAACATGGTACTAAATACAAGACACTCAGGATAATGCTTACTGACTTTCGTTACTTATCATTTTATTGGTCATTAGTACTTTTAGTTTTGACTTTGTAGTATTTGTCTTATATGCATTACTATTTTAGTGTAATCATGTTTAGTTTCTAAGCATAAAATAACGCAAGCAGATACCTTTTCAGATGACTAAGGCCATGGTTTCATAGGATAAAATGGAAGTACAGTTGTGCACAACATGCACCACATAGACATCCCTTGAAAGAGTACATGCAAAGTGCAATCTGAATTCATTTAAACCTGGAAGTTCAGCAGTGAATTGTACGCTTTTCAATTTGAATCAGACAATTAATGGTGTTAAAGGAAAACAGATTTGATGTGTGTCAAATTGGAATTCTGACATAAAGAAAGAAAATGGCACTAAAAATAGTACATTTTCATATCTCTACTAGTAAAGGGGAGTTGGTAGTGTCGCCTCCCCT